GAAAAGAAGAGCAGAATAAATATCTCCAAAAATTCACTCCTTCATAAAAGCACTGAGATCACTGGCAAATTAGTCAAAACTAACTTTTTTTCAGAATTCTGGAAGTCAACCAAATGCTTACAACAATGGAGGAGGAGCACTTATTTTAAAAAATCTTAGTGAGACCAACAGTGACATTTTAATTTTTTCTACTGCCATTCTTATCTCCCTCGCTCTGTGGCAGCTTGAAAAATAAGAGTCTTACAAGCATTATAGCTGTGAAATTCAGCAATCAGTAGAGGGTGGGCAGGAGGTGGGCGCTCCAAAAAGCATAATTTCCAGAAAACTGCTTCTATTTGACCTTATCTGCCACTTCCTTAGAAAAGGCCCATTCTCTGCAGTTGTTTTATTTGACTTGATTCAGAACTCATTATGTGGAAACAGCTTTAATTCTATATATTTGTTGAAAACAATTGGTGGCAATTGTTTAAAATCCCAGCTGGATGAGACACTGATACCAATTGGGGCAAACAAGCTGACCAAAATACTTATAAGGAAAACCTGAAGAATGAGATGTCCACAGGTGGTTTTGAAATGCTGCAATATATTCTTGGACATAGAAAAGGCTATACACATGTATAGGGATGTTTGCATGCCAAGGAAATAACCTGAGAAGGCCTTAATATCTCACTTGCTCTGAGCAAGCAGGAAATGAAGGCTAAGCAGAACTATAAATTGCTTGTCAGATTGTTAAGACCATCCATGAACACACACACAGACAGAGCCCCTTGGCAAAGGCTGGAATACTTACTGGTTCAAAGCATTTAAGGAAATCACTGTCTAATCATTAGCTCAACAAACTCCAAAATGTGATAAAGTAAAGGAGAGACACATCATAGTTAAAAGTTGAAAGCCAAAGAATAAGCGATAATTCTTGAATGCAGCAAGAAGTAACCTATAATGTAGAAGGCATGCTCAATAAGATTAACAGCTGATTTTTCATGAGAAAGCACAGTAGTCAAAATACTAAAAGTAAGATTGTCAACCAAGAATTCAATATCCAGTAAAACTATCCTTCAAAACTAAAGAGAAATTAAAACATTCCTATGAAAACAAAAAACTGAAAGAGTATGTTACTCTCAGACCTTCCCTACAAGATATATTGAAGTTGAAGACTTCAAAACTTTCTTCTCCTTAGTGGATAGCACATCTGGGAAGAAGCTGAGCAAGGAAATAGAAGACCTGAACAACACTACAAACTAAAAATATACTAACAAATATCTATAGAACATCTGTAGAGATTAAATTAATAATAATAATAATTTAAAAAAAAACAACTTAGCACAAAAAACAAAACAAACAAACAAAAAAAAACACCCAGGACCAAACTTTACTGGTAAATTCATCACAAAAACATTCAATGAAAAATTAACAAAAACCCATCACAAATTCTTCCAGAAATAGAAATAAATGAAATACCAATTCAGTCTATGTGAGCATAATACCAAAACCAGAGAAAAACATCTCCAGAAAAGAAGGACAAATATTTATTAATAGAAGCCCAATGCATGAAATTCATGCACTGGCAGGGTCCCTAGTGGCTGCCAGCTGCTGGCTGGGTCCTCCCTCCCTTCCATCCCCCGGCCACCTGCCAGCGCCAGGACCTCCCTCTCTTCCCCTGGCTAACCCACCCCCTAGTCGAACTCCCGGAAAAACTATGGTCGAGGGGACAATTTGCAAACTATGCTTTTATTACTGGTATGTAGGATGTTTACAGAAAAATTCTCAACAAAATACTGACAAATTGAATCTAGCAACTTATAAAATAACTAGAGGCCAGGAACACAAAATTCATGTGGGGAGCGGAGGGGGCCGTTGTCTCTCAGCTGGGCCTGAACCCTATGGCAATCCAGGACCCCTTGGGGATGTCCAACTGCATCTTGCAATCCAGGACCATTGGCTACTAACCATTTGTCTACCTGCTTGCCTGCATGATCACCCCTAACCGCCTTGCCTCAGCCCCCACTGCAATGGCTTTAGTCGGAAGGACATCTGGGATGACGTCTGGAAGTGTTCAGCTGTCCGGTCTAATTAGCATATTATGCTTTTATTATTATAGATTACATACTATGACCAAGTGGGATTTATCTAAGAAATGCAAAGTTGGTATAACTCAATGTTATCACCAAATTAAGAGAATAGGGGGAAAAATAATTATCTCTATAGACACAAATTGCATTCAACAAAATCCAACAGCCAACCTCCTGTGGCCAGCCAACCTCCCTCAGTCCCTCTTCTCAGTTAGCTCCCCCATCGGGGCCAATGGGGGGAGGGGAGAGGTGGCTGGTCCCAACCACCAGCTGGTCAAACTCCTGCGGTCCCTTCCCCTGGTCAGCTACCCTCCCCCCCCATCGGCCCCAATTGGCCCCAGGCCAAGGGACCCCAACCATGCATGAATTCATGCACCAGGCCTCTAGTGTTTATATGTTAAAGGCACTGTGGAATCTACTATTAAAAAACTCATTTAATGTTGTTTAATTCATTCCTACACTCATTTGATCAGAGAATCTCTTTTATTTATACCTATTGACATCCAGGAATATAATTTTTGGAAAATGTTGCTTAACTTTCCTGACATAAACTAATCAGCCTGTCCTTTATCATTCCCAGGGACAGAGATTACTAACCTTGATAATTCGTTCTACTTTAGATGGTCTGACTAATAGCCTCTCACTTTAGTTGAATTGGCATCTTTATTTTAAATGCATAGATTGTTTTGTAATTTAGAGTTAGAAATCACATCTATTCATTTCTCCAAAGGACCTAGCAGTCAAGCTCTAAATGTAGTTCTCTGAAAATGCCACCATTTCTTAAATATTTTTATACATGCTATTTTTCCCATCTGAATCTCATCCTTCTCCTACAAAAACCACTCCTCTGCAAAGTCTACAGTCATACTTCACATTTCAATAGTAACTTTCTTTACACAGCACTACCTGAGACAAAAACCATTGCTGCGTGCTCTTGCAGTCTGTAGATGTCACCATATTAGGCACATGGCACCACTGTCCTACACGAATACTGCATTATAACTACCATTCGTATATAACTACACGAATACTGCATTATAACTACACGAATACTGCATTATAAATACCTGTCCCTCTCAGCCTCAGCAGCCTGCCAGCAATCTACTCCTCCTCTTTGCATGGGATGGAAGAGATACACAAATCTCCTACCTCACCAATAACTGCAATGATTCCAACTGAGCCCACACACTCCACAGCTTCTTATCATCCTCAGAACAATGCTCCAAGAAGCTGTGACCAATCTACAGCGTTCACCCCTCATGCAATACCTAAATTCATCCCAGCTTGAGCATTAAGCACAGAGTTCAATATACTGGCTTCTCAATGAGTATCTGTGAAATGAATGAATGAATATTATCTGAAGTATAAGCAATGATTCATATTTTTGTTAGACGGCCTTAAATTTACCTTCTTTTAAACCAAACATCAAAGATGAAAGAAGCAAAAACCTTCAGTATTAGCAATAATTAACCAATGAGCTTATATGCATATATTCATAACCCATGAACATAGACAATAGTGCAGTATGCCCTGTGGGGCATAAGATGATGTGTGTGTGGCGGGGGGGTGGCTCGCCCACTGAAGGAGGGAGAGGGGCATCTATAATACTTCCAACAATAAAGACAAATTTTTAAAAAAAGATTATTTTCACATCAGATTCTTGTCTGATAATGCCAATTCTCTGATGTCCATTCATTAACAAAATCCCAGATGTGAGAAATAAAATAGCCAAAATAATTCCTGGAAGGATGTGTACTGCATGAATTCTTTCAGCTTTTCTAAATTTCATCCTTGCATCAAACTATAATCTTTAGTTGGACATCATCATTTCATGACCCACTGTAGAACCACCTTTTCTCACTTGGACTAGAGTTCTCTGTGGACTTAAGGAATTTATCATTACTTCTACTTTGGGAAACTGTCTGAGATCTGTCCACTATATCACAAGGTATTTTCATACAAAGCAACCTTTCAGGTTTCTGTCTTATAAAGGCCAAACAATTCAGGAGAAATGTGTTCTTTGTCTACGAAGCCTGGAACTCTTGTAATAAATCCAGTTTTGTTCTTTGCATTTGCCTCAAGGAATTAGAGCCAATTTTTTTTTTCTTACTTCAAGAACTATATGGGCCATGTGTTTCCCTCCCACTATTTCTTTATCCCAATTTTATTATTCATATTGCAAACTGGCTAAAAAATGACCTCAAATCCCAAAGGAACAAGATGAGAGAGTGACAAAAAAAAAAATTTAATAACTACCACTAGGTGTTTAATATAAGCCAAATACTGCTCTTTTAACATGATCTTTGAACAGTGAGGAAAAGGTATTTTAGAGTCTACAAATGATAAACTGAAGTGGAGAGGTATTATATACATTACCTAAGCTCACAAAGCGAACATGTGCCAGGCCAGGCTTGAATGATTATAAAGACACATTATATAAAAGGTCTGATCAAATTAAAGACTATGCTATGCTTCAAAAAGAAAAAGAATTCTAGCATTGTAAAGTACCTTCCTTTACAGTACTTGAGAAATTTTTCAATTTCAATTTATATGTACAAAAGAAGACAAGCACTTGGCACTAATTTTACATTAGTATTTAAAAAAATAAACTTTAACAAAGTCAACATTTAATCATTCGCAAAAGAGAACTAGAAAAATCACAACAAAACAAATTCCAAATAGCAGACATAAAAAAATATTAATATTCACGATAAAGTTAATGAACAAAGATTTGGATCAAAAGGAAAAAATTAGATATATTATTCCAATTAGTACTATATATAACTTGAAATATTTTTTGCTGCACCAAAAAAACAAAACAAAACAAACAAACAAAAAAACAGGCCAAAAAAATATTTTGTGGGGAAGGAGTGGAGAATAAAGGGGACTTTATGACTCAAAATTAATAAGAGAATAGGAAACTAGACTCACCTGCTCAAGTCACTTTTTCCATGGTGATGATAGCGGTCAGGATGACTGAGGGGGTAATGTTCCTGTCCACTCCACCTCTGGGGTGACCTTTTCCAAAATCCTTCTTGCGACTGCCGAACATTTCTGTCTGATCGATCAAAGCGATTCATATTGTCACACTCCACTAGGCAGATTCAAAAGCAAAAACACTATAAACATGTACATACTCTACAAAAATTAACTACTTAGAGCTTGATCGTTAATTGCTGCTTAAAATATAAAAGTAGTATTCTAAAAAATGCCAATCATTTATGTTAGCTTATCACAAAATCAAGATTTCCAAGAAAAATAAAAAACTAGTTCTTTTGGTAACAACTTAAGTTTATATCATCCAAAACTAAAGTAAGTTATAAAACTTTCCTATCACAGTCACTAAAAGTAATAATTGATGTTTCAGAACAGCAAATTAATTTGAAATCAGCAATATACATCTTAAACACCAGTTTTATGTGGTTTTCATCATTATCACTAATTGGTTCTGACTTCAGAATAAAATGATAAAAAAAAGTATTTAAGGCTAGTAGAGAATTCATTATTAAAAATGAATGTCACAGTATTCCTCATTTCAAAAAGCACATCTTAGCTTTTCAGCACAAACCCTGTGATTGCAATGACGCTCCCAGTTGTAGAAGGACAGACGCTCCAATCTGCCCGCAGTAGAGCTGTTCAATAGTCTAAAATGCCTTTGAACACAAAGCCGGCCTTTGCAGCAACAAACAGTCCACTCCCTGAAATCCAAATGCCACAAAAACACGAAAAGAATCTCTTTGGAACAGCCAAGCTTCTCCTTCACTTACCGGAACACTTTTTCCTCACATATCTGAGCACTCGCTGCGAGCGTTACTTTGTACAACGGAGACATTGTGTCGCCTGCTGCCTACTCATAGTTGCACTCAGGCAGACAAGCAGGCCTCCTTCCTGCTCCATTCCCAGCCTCCCCGTGGGAAGCAAGCCCAGTTTACCCTGTGACTCCATCTTCCCTCAGCTCACATAGCTACTGAGTTAGGGCTGTTACTAAAAATACAGCTCAACACTAAATCAAGCCAGGAACAAGAAAGCATTCTCCAGTCCAAGAATTACTACATGAGAAAGTTCAAATCCGGCATGTTCAGGACTTCTTGTGATTAAAAAAAAAAAAAAAAAAAAAAAAAAAAACCTTAAAAAATAAATGTAATCCCCAACTAAACAACAACTCATTACAGTATTTTAATGATTGTTTTCCCTTAACCTAAAACTTGAATTAGAATTATTAAAAGTATCCCATTATACTACACCAGATAAAAAACACTTTCCCACTCCAAAGGAAAAATAGTGTAATTCAATTCTCATATACACTGAACTCACTGTACCATATGTCTTCTAAATGAATAACATTTTATTATTTTTAAATATATTTGTATTGATTTCAGAAAGAAAGGGAGAAACAGATAGAAACATCAATGATGAGAGAGAGTCATTGATTGGCTGCTTCCCGCACACCCTACACTGGGGATCCAGCCCACAACCCAGGCTTATACCTGATGGGAATCAAACCATGACCTCCTGGTTCTTAGGTCTCATAGGTCAAAGCTCAACAATGGAGCCAGGCTGGCCAGGCTAGGATTTTAAAAGACACTGAAATTTTGTTTAACTTCATTAGAGGTATAAGTTGGGGGAGGACTATGTTTTATAGTATTTAAAAAAAAATTTTTTATAATAAACTTTTGTTGTTGTTAATCCTCACCCAAGGATATTTTCCCATTAATTTTTTAAGGAGAGTGGAAGAAGGAAAGACAGAAACATCGGTGTGAGAGAAACACATTGATTGGTTGCCTCCTGCATGGGCCCTGACCAGGGCCCGGACCAGGTATGTGTCCTTGACCATAATCAAACCTGGGACCCTCTGATCCTCAGGCTGACATTCTATCCACTGAATCAAACTGGCTAGGACTGATAAAATTTTTAAAGGCAGCTTACATTTAAAATAATTTCATCAATTTACTTTGTTCATTAGATTTCACATATAAGTGAAATGATGTGGTACTTGTCTTTTCTGACTGGCTTATTTCACTTAGATAATACTCTCCAGGTCCCTCCATGCTGTCACAAAAGGTAAGATGCAGAGACATTGAAACATGCAACAGACTGACATATTTCAGTGGGAAGGGGGTTGGGAGCAGGAAGATTAGCCAATGAACTTTTATACATACTAGAGGTCCAGTGCACAAAATTCGTGGACAAGTGTGTGTTTCCCTCAGCCCAGCCTGCACACTCTTCAATATGGGACCCCTCGAGAGATGTCGAACTGCCCGTTTAGGCCCAATTATGGCAGGATCGGGCCTAAATGGGCAGTCGAACATCCTTTTTACAATCCAGGACTGCTGCCTCCCAACTGATTGCCTTCCTGCCTGCCTTCCTGATTGCCCATAACCACTTCTGCTTGCCAGCCTGATTGATGCCTAACTGCCCTCCCCTGAAGGCCTGGTCATGCCTAACTGCCCTCCCTTGCAGGCTTGGTCCTTCCAGCTTCCCTCCCCTGCTGGCCATCCTGTGGTGGTCATCTTGTGTCCACATGGGGGCAGCCATCTTGTGTGTTAGAGTGATGGTCCATTTGCCTATTACTCTTTTATTAGATAGGATAGCGGCCTGGTGCATGGGTGAGGGCCAGCTGATTAGGGTGTCCTGGATCAGGGTGGGGATTCCCTTGGAGAATGGAAAGGCTTTGGCGAGGGGCCTGTGGTGGTTTGCAGGCTGGCCACACTCTTCCCCCCTCTCCCTCCTAGTGATCCAAGCAGAAGCCCTGGTATCTGGGATTTATTTATCTTCTATCATTGAAACTTTGTTGCCTGGAGCAGAGCCAAGTCTTCTGCTTGCTCCGAGATGGCAGTCATTTTTGTTGGGATTTATTTATCTTCTATAATTGAAACTTTATAGCCTGGAGTGGAGGCTTGGGCTGGCCAATATGTACAGAAAGCTTGGCTTCCTCCATCTCTGGGGAAATCCAAACCTTCCTCCTGCTCTCTTGGTGGCAATAGCCATCATGGTTGGATTAATTTGCATACTTGCTCCTGAAAGGCTGGTGGGCATGGCTCGTGGGAGTAGTAGAAGTATGGCCAATTTGCATATTACTCTTTTATTAGATAGGATATGCATAGCCCATGGACAGACAATAGTGCTGGGAAGGCCTTGTCACTTTATTGTGATAAATTAAAATCTACTTTTAAGTTCAATTCTAGAAAACCAGGCTGTCAGACAAATAAAAGCATGGTACAACTCTAAATATCTGAGGGACAATCTATATCTACTGTTAAGTGTTCTGAATTCATATTTTTCTTAATTCAGGCAGGTAAAATTCACTCACTCCCCACACAAGAAATTGTTTTAATAAGAACCTAATTAGCACATCAACAATACAGTACACACAGAATAACAAATAGCAAACAAACCAGGCAACAGGTCAGGAGACAGGGTTCAATACCATGTGAAATTATATTGCAGAAATTGATGTGCTGCTTTTCAGTTTGCTAAAAGTGTTGATACTACACATAGCCTTCAAATTAAAGCACCTTTACTGAAATTTAAATTCAAACATGGGCACAACAGCAACTAAGTACTGGAAAGAAACATCTGTCATGACCACAAAAGACAACTGGTAGAAACGGAGAGAGAGGGGGCTGGCTTCTCAGAGGTGAGTCTGCGCCAAGACTGTGTAGAAAAGTCCTGCTGACACTTCTAGCTGAGGCTCCCATCAATCACATGTTTATTCACTGTACACTGTTATTAAGAAGATAATGTGAAATAACAATCAGTGGTGATTTCTTAGAAAAAGTTAAAAATTCTCAAACAGAATCCTATCTTAATAAGAGTGATATGCAAATTAACCCCACACTGCTACACCTACAACCCATGCGCACCAGCCAATCAGGAGCACATATGCAAATTAACCCAACCAAGAAGGCTGCAGCTACGGAGCAAGCAGAAGGCTTGGGTTTCCCCAGTAATGGAGGAAACCCAAGCTTTCTGCACACCCTGACCTGCCTTGGCCTTAGCTTAAGGCTACAAAGTTTAAATTATCCTATCTAATAAAAGAGTAATATGCAAATTAACCACCACTCCGCTATACCCACCAGCCACGCCCACCAGCCAATCGGGAACAAATATGCAAATAAACCCAACCCAGATGGCTACTGCCACAGAGAGCAGGAGGGAGGCTTGCGTTTCCCAGGCAATGGAGAAAGTCAGGCTTTCTACCTGCCCTTGCCAGCCAAGGCCTCCACTCAAGGATACAAGTTTCAATGATAAAAGGTAAACAAATCCAAACAGAAATGGCGGCAGCCACAGAGCTGGAAAGAGCAGGAGGCTTGGGTTGTCCCTGGCAATGGAGGAAGCCAAGCTTTCCACATACCCTGGCCAGCCCAGGCCTCTGCTTAAGCTACAAAGTTTCAATTATAGAAGATACATAAATCCCAACAGAAATGGCTTGGCTCCACTCAAGGCTACAAAGTTTCAATTGTAGAAGGTAAATAAATTCCAGATACCAGGGCCTCTGCTTGGGTTGCCAGGGGGCGTGGCCAGCCTGCAAACCACCACAGGCCCCTCGCCAAAGCCTTCCCATTCACCAGGGAAACCCCGACCCTGATCCTGGACATCCTTCAGGGTAAACCAGCTGGCCCCGACAAGTGCACCAGGCCTCTATCCTATCTAATAAAAGAGTAATATGCAGATTGACCATCACTCCTATGCACAAGATTACTGCCCCCTTTGTGGTCAAAGATACTGCCTGCATGTGAACACAAGATGGCCACCACAAGATGGCCAGGAGAGGAGGGCAGTTGGGAGGCACCAGGCTTGCAAGGGAGGGGCAGTTGGGGATGATCAAGCCTGCTGGGGAGGGCAGTTAGGGGCAAACAGCCTGGAAGGGGAGCAGTTAGACATGAATCAGGCTAGCATGGGAGTGGTTAAGAGGTGATCAGGCTGGCAAGCAGAAGCACTTAGGGACAATCAGGAAAGCAGGCAGGTGAGCAGTTGGGAGCCAGCAGTCGTGCATTTTGAGAGAGGTCCCAGATTGGAGAGGCTGCAGGCTGGGCTGAGTGACACCACTCCCCCTCTTGCACAAATTTCATGCACTGGGCCTCTAGTAGAAGA